AAAAAGCTATTCGATGAAATTCGAGAAAATTTGTCACGCACAATCCAATCAGGCGAATTGGAACCAGGTTTTTCGATTTGGTCAAAAAAACTACAGAAATTTCTAGAACTTTATGAATTTCACTTCTCTAAAGCCAATCATGTGAAAATGGTTGAATTATATCTAAGTATACTCTCTATAACCGATCTGAATGTTACACATGCAGATTTATGCTTCGAAACTCTTCATGCTCTCATGCGGTTGGTATTTTTCAGTTTTCTATTGATAATGAAAAGGCAATCGCTTGAATTCTTTTCAGAAAAACTCGTCTAATTACTCGAAATGATCTGACTATTGATTGGCGAATATTTTATCATTGGGCTACTCTGATTGTTGGTAACTATTTAGAAACAAATTCGGCGTTGGTATTGCCTAAGTTCGTTTCATTCATTGATGAGAGACTTTAAAAATATGCTAATTCTAATTATTTTATTTGTCTCTAGATTTATTCGACTTGCATTCCAAGACTGTGTAACCGCATGTTCTCCATACTTTTCAGTCACGGCTACTCAAGAAATTCTCGATGAACTACGCCCTAAAATGTATCCTATTCACTGGAAATTCATGGACACATTTACAATTTTTAAGTTGCTGGTTCCCGTTATATTACCTCCAGAGTTGCATGGCCACGGATTCAAGTTTGTACTATGACTTTCTATTGTCTTCATCCTTATATAATAAATATTATTAATTAGGTTATGGCTATCTGAGCTCTGGACTATGTGGCAAACTGTCTACAATAATTTGTCCTGGGAATGGGTGAGTGAATTGTTTCATCAGATTGGTTTGCTTTGTTACTATGATTTAATTTAGCATCTCATCAATCTATTGTCATCGTTAGCATGGAAAAATATTGGTTACATCGATTGGGAACCTTGGATGTCTCAGGTTCGAAACTGTTCGTTCTTGTTCACCATGTAACCTTTCTGATCTAGATTTTCACACGAATACTTCGAGGTTTTTCATTACCGATCGGCAATTTGCAAGTCTCTGCCCAAACATATCCTCATTCCATTGAAGATATGGCGAAGTGGATCGTTGCCATGATAGGCAACGGAAGTTCTTGTTCTCAATACCTGCGAGATTTACTGTTTGCTATGAAAAACTTTTATCATCCGTCGAACAGTGGGGATTTTCAAAAGAATCTGGTGAATTTCATCTTGAAACTTTCCAAATGTTTCATCGATCGTATCCATCTGTGTGTATAAGAAATAAAGTAACATCAACCTTTTAGAATAAGATTGCATATATATTTTAGAGAGCGGAAAGTTCAACCAGTTTGGTTCTTCAAACCAGTACAATCGTATCTTCTAACCGAAGACGATATTACTGAATTCGTGAATTGTATCAAGGACCATGTCTTTATTTCTATTTTTAACAAAGACTATGGTAACAAGGCGGCAGAAGCATGTCAAAATCTGTCGATACTTCGACCAGAGTTGATCGTGCCATGTATTATTGAAAAGTAACACCATTGTCGATTGACTAGATGATGATTGCCTTCTGTTGACTTCATTTTCTAGGCATTTTTCATCTATTGATAGTTTAACTGAACCAGATCGTGTTACAGCAATTATCGATTGTCTAAAACATATAGCTCCTCAAATAGTTCGACCATCATCTAGCTATCCTGAAGGACAATTTCATGTGTTACCATTGCTGATTTCATTGTTGCCAGGAATCGATTTGAATGATTTCACCAAAGTATCGTTAGTATTACAATTTTATGATATTACATTAGCACTAATTACCTGCGTTGATTGCTCATCAGCCGTAGAAACTCGAGATGATCTAACTGAAGTAAACTTCAAATTGCTTCGAGAGGAAAAAGGATTCTATGTTTATTTCTTATATTGCAGTTTGAAAAGAAAGTTTGCTTGTTAACTGCTAAATTTGAAGATTTCATCAATGCGTTTCTTGAACGAATTTTTTACATGATCGAAATATTGTCGACCGATTATTCAAACGAGTTTTCGACAGATACAGATACATGTGTGCTTGATAGTACCATCACAAAAAGATTGGGATCAATTATTTTCAATATTTCTCAACAGAGTAGCAGTAAATTGTTTCAGGTACTCGTAAAATTCGAATTTTCTTAGAGATAAATATTCGACTATCGACAGGTGATTCGAGATAAAGTAACTGATTTTGTCACTGGCAAATGTTTATCGCCGAAAGTACGCAATATAGCTGCTATCCTTGTTCGAGCACTAGTCAAAGCCAATCCAGCCGATACGCTAAAGTATCTATTACCGAAAATATGTCGACTCATCGATCGGATAGTGAAGAAGTCGGAATCAAACGTATCCTCCAACATTGATGAAGATGATATTGAACTTCTTTGGCATTTAACCATCTTTAAAGAACTAGTCCATGCTCGCGGTGATACACTCGTTATTTACAAAGACATAATCATATCAACCTTCGAGAAATCTATTCATATCATGAACAAACGTGCTTACCAGATTCTTGGAGATGCAGCTATCAATTTGCTCAATTCACTTTGCCAAGTGCATCCTATGGAATATCGATTGATGATTGAAAACATCGATGAACCATTTATTAAATGCTTATCCATTCGTGTGAGTTCTTATATAAGAGAAAAGCAAAATTTTGTTGCAATTTCATTGTTTATTTATCCTCATGATAGGAATGGGGCAAATTCATTGAACTTGATCAAATACACGTTCGATTCCATGTTCCAAACGTTGACGAAGTTAATTTTGCGTGTGAATTCGTTAATAATTTTCTGTATTCTGAATTGAGTCGATGGAACGATCTAGGATCAAAACTATCAAATAAAGAACGATTACGATCACTAACTCTCATTCGATCGATCGCAGTCGGATGTTTTCGAATGGTACCGTGCATTCCCAGTCAACCAGTGTCAAATCTGTTAGTAAAAACTCAGTATGATACATGATTGAGACACATTTGATCATTTTTTCAGAGCACAATCAGTAGTTCCTTGTGATTCCAAATATCGTACCCAGTTTTCAATTTATTCAACGGAACCGAGTAAGTTTCTCATGTGCTCTTTAGTTTTCTAGTCTTATTCTTCTTTAGAATTCAGTGAAAATTTACGACAGCGTCTTCTAATCGAAATGGAAAAAATAATTGGTAGGTTTCTCATCTGTTGATGAATGTGGATATCGATTCTGACCATTTACAGATTTCCTGCTGGATAACCATTCAGATGATACTCCATCGATCATTGGAGCACTCCAAGTAAATGTCAAACATACTTTGTTTCTTTTTGCTAGTGTAGATTTCGTAGTGCTATTCAAGCGTATCACATTTTTATGCTGTATCGGATGGCATCATTGATTTATACACTGACCTAGACTTTTACAAGCCATTATTATTGAATAAAATTCATGGAGAAAGGCGAATGGTTCGATCCATCGCGATCCGAATGATCATGTCACAGTTTATAGTAATTATGGAATGATCAAATGATTATCAGAATAAAAACAATTTACTGAATTTTAGAACCTTGAGTGGCATCAAGCTGGGCTTCTGACTATGGTCGACCAACAAATCATTCGTAAGCTCTTCGAACTATCGTTGAATCGATACAGTGAAGTAAATTGAGTGTATCCAATTGAGTATCTTTTTATTCCGTGCATCCTATATCGTTGTTTCAGATACGCCGTGTAGCGCAACGAGGGCTCTTCTCGATGCTCAATCGTCATCAATTTTCATTTCAGGTGATTCTTGACCGCATAATTGAATTGATGAATAACTTTGGTGAGACTAATCACGATCAAATAAAGGTGAGTTTAAGCGTTTCATAATATATCTTGAAATAAATTCATTTCGAAACGTCTTTTAGGGTTGTCTACACATCTTGAAGGGTGATTACTTCTTCTTCCTACCTCTTCAACATTCTTGGACGATGAAAGAGAGACTCTGGCCACTGATTGCACGGATGGGCTACAAAACCAGAATCAGCATACAAACGCTTATTGAAGAAATTCACAAGAAACTGAAAACTGATTTTGTTACAGAAGCAATCGCTGAAACTACCGATGAAAGATCGAAACAAGTAGCTATTGAACTATGGAGTTCAATAGACACGTCTGACAAGGAGAAACATGAGAAGCATAATCAAGCTAATATTCAGTCGTACACTAATCTAATGGAAAATCTAAATTCCATCTTACATGACAATGCATTGTAAGTTAATTCTGACCAGAATTGATTGATTTGAATGATCAATGTTGAAAATTTCTTTAAGAACATGGGCACAACAGAAGGCAACGTTGAATTTATTCTATCGTCTTCTACAAAAACATGTACCAATACCGTCATCGTGTATTAAGACATTCGCTGATTTTCTAACGTATGGCAGTAGTGAACTACGAGAGGTTTGCTAAAGAATATGCTTATGAATATCAACTAATCTGATTTGATCGTTTTAGTATGCTGCCAAGGGCATAGCTGAGTTCTGCCACTTGCAAAAACCACCTCGTATATATGTTGAAAAACCATTGAAAGAGATTTTTGAGAGTATGGATGCATCATTATCTGTATGTATAAACGTAGACGATTTTCCAGGCGAACGCCCTGATAATTTATGGTTGACAATCGATAACTATAAAGCACCGAAAACTCAAAGTAAATGGGAAGAAGAATGCTTTGTAGATAAACCATCCTATGGATATTACACTTGGCCAAAAGTAGTGAAATATTCGATGAATAAACGAGCACGTTACACACTAGATAACATGCCTGAACAAGTTTCAATTCTCTATGATTGTTTTATGAACAAGAATTTTCTTACCAAAATGATTCGAATAATGGTACCTGTTGAGAATCTAGATAAGATCAAGTTCGATCGAATTTTTGTCACCATATTCAAAGTAAATTAAAACTTCACTTTTTCAACCATAACAACTGACGCTTTCTTCCAGGGTTTATTCCGTAATTTTGGCCTTGCATATCTCGACAGTTTCATGGAACAACTGTATGCGTTGATTGATGAGGTAGCAACTGAAAAACAAAATGGCAGTCATGTTGTTGCAGCCATGGTCGTAGCTGGAATATTACGTGGTTCCAAGTATTGGACGTTGGAGATGGTGAGTGAAGTATCATGATTTTTCATATACGACAGTTTTTATTTATTATAGCTTGACGAATTGTGGAGAAAACTAACTCCATTTCTGAGTAAAGTTCTACCACATCTCACTTCACAGACATGTGGCTATTGGCATTCATGCTTTCAATATAGTATGGTTAGTCATCTTTCCATATGCATGAGTGATGATGCTCTTATCTACTGTATACTTTATGGATTTTTATAGGAAGATGTAGATCCTCGTCGAATTCATCATCTCATCCACTATTTTCATCAATTGATCAATGATCGTGAAACTGGAATTACATCAACCGAGACATCTCGTTGGTATCTTATTCAATGTCTGGAAGGTCTGGAATGGCGGATACCTTCCATTTGGGGTGAAATCAATGAAAAAGGAAAAGAATTGCTGGATAATTCCTCTAGTTCTATTCGAAAGAATCTTGTTTCGTAAGAGAAATATTTCAAGCTGATCTTCTAATCGCATCCGTTCCTAGCTTACTAGCAATATCGGTTTCATTCGGTGTCAATTGGAAAGATGGAATACTGACACGTCATCCTGACATTGATACATTCTTCGATTATCTTTGTGATCGATTGGGTCAAACAATTGAAACCTATGAAAAAGTATCCCCAACTAACGAAATGACTCTCAATGATCCCGAGACCAAGAAAGCTTTTGATTTTTTTGAATCAGGTAAACACAGTGTTTGAGAGATGTGCTAGATAGTAAACGTCGGATTTAGTGGTGAACATTCATACTCAATTCTACGATTGGTGTGTACAACCTATACGAAAATCAATTATTCGTCTCTTTTCTTCAGTAAGTTTCATGCAATAATATCGACTATTTTCTTATGTGCCCGTTCAATCACATAGTTCTGCCAAATCGATCATATGGCCAGCAATGTGAAGGGCTTAAAGAAGAATCTAACTATCAGTCGACTGAAGATTGGTATGAGCTATTTGAACCCGCCATCATTGAAAGGATTGGTTGAAAAATTACTCGAAGTATGTATTCGAAAAAATCACTTTGCATTGATTGCTGTCTCTGTACAGGTCTGCTCAAGCTCTAAGTGGCATGCACGCCGAGCAGCTATCGAATCTGCTCAAACAATGATCTTCTCGAATTTCTTCAATGCTCAGCCTTATAAAAAGCAATTGCATGAAATCCTCTTACAATGTCTATTCGATGAAGAAACAGAAGTAAGAATGGTTGCTTCGACAACTTTGTCTGGCTTTTATCAATGTGGTTATTTACAAGTGACCCAAGAAGATTTGGTAAGTTGATTATTGATTCTTTCTCTGAAGACTGATGCCGAGTTTTGATGATAACAGGAGCATTTTACTGATACTGATGACAAACGAGTCATATTACCTAAAAATATCATCAAACGACATGGCAGTGAGTAAAATAATCTTTTATACTCTCGTTTAACTGCCTGATTATAGCCGTGCTGGGACTCTGCGCTATTATACTGTCAAGCCCTTACGACATTCCAAAATATATTCCAAATGCTTTGATGCTTCTCTGTCAATACGCACACGATGCTGATCTGATACAAGTATTTCTGATTGATGATCTTATTATAGTTCTATAAAAAAGCAAAATGCTGTCTTTTTCTTAATAGAAATCAATGAGACGATGCTTATCAGAGTTTCGTCGTACACACCATGACTCATGGCATGAACATTGTCAACATTTTAGTGAAGATCAACTGTTGGTTTTGGATCAAGTACTCATTGCTCATAGTTATTATACTTGAAAATTCATATCTCTCACATTAGGCAAAATTATATAAAAATAAAGAATCTTGTACTCTATTCCAGAATTTCTATTATTTTTACTATTTTCATGTACAAATACATAGCTAATTTTTTCGCTTTAATATAAGTAACAAATAGAGAATAAGTCTTTATATGAAATGTAAAGTAATTTTATTTGACAATCGATTTGAAAAGTCTATTATAACACAAATTCATCAGGATGATAACTAAATAATTCCTTTTTATGTGACGCAAACTTCTTTCCGTATGCATATACATATAAAGGTAATAACATTTTGATAAAAAGATAATATTGTGTTCATTGAATGTATTTGATGATTCAATATTACACTTGGTGTAATGAATTGCCTTATAAAATTTAAAAATCTGACATCACTGAAAATAAGTTCAATTTTGACACTTATTTGCACTCATTTTCGTATCTATTTTCATGTACTCATCACGAGAAGTATTAGTTATACAAAAAATGTATCATTTATCAGGGTGTGGGTGGGTGTGGGTGTGAGTGTAATTTAGGTAAACAGTTAATTATCAACATCTAAACAATAATCCACATCCTATTTTTGGTTATGGTACGCATGGTAAATGCCAACAAATCAAAAGATGGTATTTATATCTAAGACTTGGCCCACGCATACATCTTTTTGTGAATACAATGCTCCGAAAATTAAAGCTCAAAAGAATGATCCCTTCCTAAGATATTGAACTTTCAAAAACCACTCATATCGTACGACAGATGCTAGAATTTTTTTCTGAGATTTTAATATTTCGGAAAGGAAATTTTCTTTTGAGCTGTAATTTTCAGAGCATTCTGTTCACAAAGAGACTAATGTAAATCGACAAAATCTCAGCTCGAAAAACCATCTTTCGATTTGTTGATATATACCATAACATAGACTAAAATAGCAGTAGAAGGTCTAAGCGAACTTACCCTTTTCAAGTTTTTCAAACATTCCTGGAGTCTGTCTTATACATACAGTTTGAACTATAGATTATTATTACAAGAATCATATCTTTTATCTGAATAACTAGCAAGTTTGAAAACCGATACGCAAAAATTAATGAAACAAATGTTATCTCTTTTGTATTGAACAAAAATGAAAAAATTTGTATGCAAAAGTGTAAAAAAAAGAACGATACATGTTTACTAAACTTTATAGTATGATCATTTTTTTCATAACTAGAATGGGAGAAAATGTAGAAGAATTTCATCTCGTTTCAGAGTTTTACAGATAAAGAATTGAGATAAACATATATATTCTGTTGTATTTGGAAGAGTAGATTCAGTATTTATTATAGTATTGTTTTTATTTTTCTTTTATCAATATATGTACAATAGTATTAGATTTAATGGGCTTTATTTTATAAAAATGTTTAGCGATTGAAATCCTTCTCTGATCATATTCATATTACAACAGGATGGGCCAAAAGTAACTTTATCGCGAAGAAAGACTTGAGTATTTTTGCTATACTTTGGCCAAATGGAATGAGTTTTTCATTATTAATAAAAACGTATTCAGAGCTAATTTTCATAAAGAAAAATGGTGAAAAATATGATTTTTGAATATGTATAAATGTAAAGTCCTTTGTGAGTTCCAGAAGGAGAACATTTTATAAATAATACATTACATAAATGAAGCTATTTAAGAATAACATCTTCAAAAGATACTTAGTAACAAAACAACATCTATCTGTCAAAATCTAGAAATAACAAATTTCAGCAACATTAATTGAAAATATTTCGCACTGTTTCTTTGCGCGATCAAAAGAATAATATTATTTTGTCATAAGTAGTTCAGTTGACTAATTTATATTCATGTCAATAGAAATATTTCAAGATATTATTTTTCCATGTTTTTTCTACGGATTCTAGCTATAAATGCTCCTTTATTAAAGTAAGAAAATAGTCAGTACATATGACCAAAATATAGGAGCATTATTGAAGATTTTCTTCTTAATAGAATAAATTTTGATTCAACCAATGTTTATCAATAGCAAAATAAAAGGAATTGAAAAATATTGAACATGAAACTGAAATAATTTTATAACACTCAGTTCTCTTTCTTGTAGTAAATTCTAATATTTAACTGACAACAGACGCAATCTTAGTTGAAAGTATCAAAAATTGTTGAGATACTCTTTATTGATATATTTTCTTTGATAACTACTAATAAGAACTAATGAATAGAGTCAATTTCACATTGAACAGTCACATATAACATCATAAAGATACAAAAACCAAGTCACTTTCTTGCATACATTAGTGATATACTGCACTGTGACGAACCATGAGCGATATCTGGAAAACACGATATTACGACAATAAATACCCATAGTATTGGAGTAGATATATAAGCTTTTCTCATTATTAACTACATTGGTAACAGTATATAATTTCGATGTAAAACGATCGGATATCAGTTCAATCACTAAAAGTGATACTTTTAAGCGCAAAAAGTAGTTTGAGCAATTTTCATGTCTTCCTGCATCTATTTATTGCTCCCAAGTTTCTTATTTTAAAATGATTTTTCTTGACTCGAACATGTATTTTACAGCTGCTTAGTTTTCAAGATTTGGAAGAGATGAATAATCTCTGTTTAGTACTTTGGTTTTCTTCTTTTTTCTGGTTACCTATTGATTTTATACAAAAACTAAACTTTCAGAGAGACACTTCTGTATAATTTTTAAAAAGTATATCAGACTAAATTGAGTAATTTCCTCCTCTTCAAAAGCATGAGCATATTTAAAACTTCCAGAACAGTCCATAATTTCATCTTAGTCTCACGTGTCGCTACATATGTATGATTTATCTTTTGAACGTAAGATTTGACTACTGATGGAAGAAATCAGCTATAGAATGTGCACCTTTGTATAAATTTTCAAGATCTACTAGATGGGTAATTTGCAAACAAATTTTACCTAGTTAACTTTTAGTGAGATGCGAAGTTCTTATTTGAGAAATACTGGGGCACATGTACTATCAATCCATACACATACAAGCTGTCAATACGTAGCACATATTGAAAGAACAGCATGAAAATTTTTTTTTTGATTCTTTGACAACACTCGATCGAGAAATCTTATTAGAACTTAATCATTCGATAGTGGCTTTAATTCATTCTCCTATTCCGTCTTCAGCATCTATAATGTTACTCACTGAGTATGACTGGCAATAATGAAAATTCCATGATAAAAAACCATAGAAAAGAGAAAGAAATGTACAGAAAAATAGTTGCTTTCATTCTACCTAGAGTGAAAAGTTGGTCGAGGGTGGTAGGTAGGCCATCTTATGCGGGATGTAAATGTGGGAATCGGTGTAAATCTTATTTCTAATCTCAATCACACTTATACCCACCTCCACATCATCTGTTTTTTTTTGGACAGAAAATACTAAATATCTTTTTTTCTTAGAATAGTGCTGCTGAGACCTACAAGCACTCTTTTATTATATGATAGCGAAGCTGAATTTAAAAAGGAATCTGTTATTTCTTGCATCTTGACATTCTTTTAGATCAAAGGAACACAGCAACTGAGAAAGCGCGAAAAACATTTTTGATTTTACCGAAAAAGTCATGTACTTCAAGCAGGAAATGACGGAAATTTTGAGAAAAAAAAACGAAGTATCTAATAAAAAGTCATGTGATTCTTGAAAAAACTTAGGTCTCATATTGTAGTTCTATGGAGTTAGCTCAATTTTCACACTGTTAACGAAAATAGACTGTGGTGAGAGAGGCTTCAAAAATATGCCAAGATTTAACGGTAAAATGATTCTACGACGTTCAGAAGTTCATCGAACTACTGCACATTCTGCCAAAGTAAGATCTATATGTATATCTAGTCATTTCATGGGTGGTAATCCATTTTCAGTGTCAAAGATTCACTACAATCAACTGATATCATTATTCAGAAAAATACGTATTAGAAAT